AAAAAAATTTACATCTCTCATTAGTAGACTTATATTACAAGCAATTGTAGTCAATTATTATTGTATTTTGGATTTCATGAATAAAATGTGGAAATTTGTATTCTTTCTTGTTATATAAGTTTCTACATAATGTCTACAATTCTGACTACAGTTCTACAAAGACTAAAGTACTCACTCCCTGGCACTTTACATAATATGTTTGCTGGATACTGCCTTAACAACTCTGCTTACTTCCCCCATTTCTGTCAGACACTAGGGTGGTCCTTAGTATTAGTATTCATTATTTTGAAACCAGAGATCTGGTCATTATAAATTGGATGTAGGGACACACAGTGGGCAGCCAAGGGAGGTGGAGGAGGATGCTTACGCAGGTCGGGCTGTAAGCAGTCACAGTGCTGCTGTGTACAACGTACCTGCAAATATGGGCAGGGACCTGAGCCCCGCAGAGGCTTCTGTACAAAAAGACCTAGGAGGGTATGTTTCTGAAGATTTCTTCTGCTAGAGAACATTGGCTAAATTGTTGAAATAGGAACATTCTCCCAGATTATACTTTTTTTTCCAGCTCTCGCGGGTGCTCTAAATAAAAATGTCCTCAAAAGATGTAAGCCTAGAAGCTTGGCAGGACTTTTCAAAACCAACTTTAAGTATTTTTATTTTCCCTTAAAGGAGACTTGGAAAACTCATTACATCACCGAGCTGTCGGGAGATAGCTGATGCCTGGAATGAAGATCATGTAACAGATGGCTTGTGGGACATGTTTAACAGGCTTTGGTAGCTGAGATGGTGTGATCGGTGACCAGGAGCCATGGCAGTTTTGAGTTTGCCAAACAAAAATAGAGCGAAGGATAGACTTATGGGAGGTGCTGCTGAGGCACCCAATATCTAGGCCTGAAAAGAACCAAGGAGAACTTCAGGCCGTGTCAACCCCTTTCCTTTCACAGATGCAGAGATGGGGACTTGCAGAACCTGACCCTCATGCCTTTGCAAATTTCCTTATTTACTTTGCCATCAAACTGCTCTAAACTTTTTTATTTCTAAATTTGTTTAACATTTAAAACAAGTTCAGATCTTTTTGTGGTGACTCCAGTTCTCCTGAACTCTCTTCCAAGAATGCCTGCTTCTCGGGGACTGCCCAAAGGTAATGAAATGGCAGTCACCTTACGCATCACCTGGATCCTGACTCGAGCCCGCATCGACCGGGCCACGAGCTCGCCCACCCACCATTCCTGACCTTCCCTTTCGAGCAGCTGAAACAGTTCAAGACTTGACTTAAACAGTAGCATACGAGCAAATGTTAAAATTTAAACCTGGGCTTTTGGCCATACAAAACAGGGTGGGAGTTATTATTTTTTTGTGCCAATTTTAAGTAAAATGAACATCCACTTTTTTGGATTGGGAGAATAAGGCAGAAAACCTCCTACCAGGAAGACCCTTTCTTTGGCCCCTCAGTGTTTGTGTTATACTCAGCACTGCCACAGAATTGCTGTGTTCTGGCATGACAAGGGCTTGATTAGAGAAAACACTGCCTGCGCAGGCCTTGGTCCGCTGGTTTGTGTTCATTTGCATGTCCCTTGCTTCTCGGAACTTGTGCTTGACCCGGGAGCATCTGTGTTGCCATGGATCCCTTTTCTTTAGCGGTTAGGCACCAATATTTGAATAGTTCCCCTTTCAAGGCAGAAAGCCTCAGTGCTTTGCAAAGTCCCTTCTATAAAGAATGGGAACAGTGCATTATTTCTGTGTAATTATCAAACTGGTAGTAACACTAGGAGTCTGCCATGTGTGTATTACATGGGATATTGTCAAGGGCAGGAATTTTACTCTTTCAGACATGGGAGGGATTTTTAGTAAGCAAGGGGGGAAACCAGAGCCCTAAGCAGTTAAATGACTGCCCAGTCTCACATCGTGCAGTTGTGGCAGATGGAGACCGATGCACCTGACTGTGCCTCCCATTCATCTTTATCCATTTATTTAAAAAATTTTAACTTATTTTTTTGATATGGGATGAATCTTCAGCCATTAACAAACATACAAAGGGCTTTACCAAAGAAGATCATTTTATGCCTGTTCATTGTTTCTCTCGATTCGAAGGTGGAGTTGTATTTGTGTGTGTGTGTGTGTGTTTACCTAAATGTGTGTGGACGCAGTCCTCTGATTTTGACCTCTGCTTCTGTCACAGGCTGGCACTGGGAGAAGCTTGAAAATCAAATTCACCCTTGGCTGACATCTGCAGCAAACATCCTTATTTCTTTTTTTCCAAAGAGTCCTATTCTTTCCTTTCTCTTCCACCTTCTCATTCTCATATCACGTTGCCTATTTCGTGGACTAGGAGGAATTTGTAGACACACAGTAATGCATCCAGCTTTCAAAAGGAAGAAGGGTTGACGCTCTTCTTGTCAGGCAATCCCACATATGGAATGTCTAGTGTGATGCTCACTGAAATCTGTGAGCCATTAATAACAGTAATTACCATTTTTGTTTTCAGGGCACGCTGCACTGTGCCCTATATTGTCTTCAGAGGGGCTCGTCTGTTACTCAGTTTAATTCTATTAGCTATCCTTGCATTTAATGAGTGCTATCGGTCATTTCCTTCTGTCCTGGTGGAAACACTTTCATCCTCTGGCCCATGACACTACAATCTCCTGGGATTGCCTCTGCCTGCCCTGTGGCCCATCCTCCTCCACGCCAGTCACCAACAACTGGACACCTCCAGGTACTCTCCTCT